TGAAGTATCGTTGTCTCTGAATGAATCTCAAAACAAGTTCTTCAGCGATCACTGAACAAGCTCAGTGTATGATCGCTGGAACTGAAATTACAGAAACAGAAATACATCGAAAAGAAAAAAGGATTATCATCAAATCACTGAGAGAGAGGATCAACATATATATATATATATATAGAGAGAGAGAGAGAGAGAGAGAGAGTAGCGATCAAATGCAAATTAACCACCTCTTTTGTGCAAACCCTACAAACCAATCTCATCCATCCATTTTCTTGATCAATGGTCATGATTAAAATGTGTTATATTAGGAAAGTAAAAAATGAAATAAAAGGTTTAATATTTAATCAAGAAAGGGCAAACTTGGCAAACCATTGTTTGTCTCATTTTTGTAAATTGATTTCATCAATAAAAACATTTTGAAAACTGTATCTCATTTTTTCGTTAGTGAAATTTGTTTCATTGTTTGTTTGTATAATGAAATTTGAGCCAGATATGGTTCAGCCAATGGAACATTTTCAAAAATCTGAATAACATGTTTTCGTTAATGAAATTCGTTTCGTCATTGAAATTAGTTTCATGGACTCCACAATTCCAAAAACTGAATGACATTGTTTCAGCAGTGAAAATTGTTGAAATGTTTTCTAACCAAAATGGAATCGGTTTCATGGTTTCTAACCAAGATGAACTCGGTTTTACATATGAAACTAAATATTATTCAGTCAATAAAACACTTCAAGAACTGAATAATAATATTTCATTCATTTTTAAATTTGTTTCATGTTTTCTAACCAAAATGGAATCGGTTTTATGTTTTATAGTCAAGATAAAATTGGTTTTTATTAATGAAACCAAATATGGTTCAGTCAATGAAACATTTCAAAACCTGAATACTATTATTTCATTAATAAAAGTAGTTTCATGGTTCATAACCAAAATGAAATTAGTTTCATTTTTTATACATTTTGAAAACTGTATAACGTGGTTTCATTAATGATATTTGTTTTATGAATGAAAACAAAACAATATATGAAACTGTTTCACTGTTTCTTGAATGAATTCATGAGACTCTTGTCACCTTGAATGAAAGATGGACCATTTGACATGGTGTTGTGAACCATATATGAAACTATTTCATTTATAGTTATTGAAACATGATTAGACTGTTAATTATTTGTAATCAAATTGATTTTAGGAGTATAGTTTTACAATTCATATTTTAAGAGTATAATTTAATAAAAGAATATAAATTGTTAATGGTAATAATTATATATTAAAATAAATTGATTTACAGCTTCCATAAAAACAGTTAATATATTTAGTTTTTCATATTTAAAAACGATTAAAACATTACCAAGATTAACTATTACAAAGTAAAATGACATTCATACCTTTATTTATTAAAAATAAAGAATAAAACATGAATTTTTCCTATTGTTTGAAATTAATTTCTATAGTTTGCATGAAATAGACGGTTTGCAATATAACCCCCTTCCCCCCCTCTCTCTGTCTATCTATCTATATATATATACTAGAAGCGTACTCGCGTAATGCAGCGAGATACATCGTGATTTTAATATTTTATTTTATTCTTTATCTCAGTCGATGTTATAATATGGCTTTATGTGATTTTGAGAAAACGATGATGTTTTTATTTTTGAATAAAATATATGTTTGA